CCTGCTGCACCTCCTGCGGCTTCGGGCGCCCGGCGGCGTCGGGGATTCTGCACCGGCGGAGCCCGGTGCCTGGGACCTCTGCCTCCCCATGTCAGAGGGAACCTCCATTTGGTGCGCTCGGTTATTTCTAGGCATGAACGGCGGATTCTGAACTCAAAATGGTGCTCTGTCGATGTCCACCCCGGGCGTCTCAAGGAGTTGCAAGCTGGAGGCGCCTGGGTGGTTGAGCCCATTGTGCTGCCGAGGTCCGGGTTCTCTCCTGTGGCCGGTGTTCAGGTCGTCATGCTGCGGCCGGGGTCGGGGTCAGTTTAGGATGACCACTGTCAAGAGGCTGCTAGGGCCCTGAACGTGGCTGACCCTGCACAGGGCTTATTTTAGGCAAGTTACTTCCTACGTTTAGAATGGAGTAGCCATGGCGATGAGCGGAGACACTGGAAATGGGGCTTGAATGATCTCAGCGGACAGTAGTGGCCGGTTTGAAATACGGAGGGGATGCTGACAACTGAGTGCTTAGATTCCAGACTTCCTTCGGTGCCATGTGAAAGGATCAAGGGTAAAAGCTAGCCCCAGGCAGATGAACTCGGTTGGCAGAGGGCACCTTGAAGAATTCACATCATTTCCGAACCGCGGAGGTAGTGAGGTCTTTGGACGCCTTTCAGCCTGGCACCCCGAGGATGCTTTGTTGGGGAAAATGATGTAAAATGAGGTTTCAAAAATGACCAACCCAGTTATGTTATCCACATTTATTTCATTGTTGCTGTTTACAGAAGACAATAGCCTGAATAACGGTTACTTTGTTTGCCTATACTGAAAGTTTGTTTTCTACAGAAAGTTCTTAATATTTGTATTTCCATAAGAATAGAGGTTCTTGGAATCTGTTGTGTGTTTTTTATTTTTCACAGGTTGGGTCATGAGAAATTGATAGCCTAGAAAATGGTAATAGTAAAATTATTAGTTAAGTTAAATCATACTTATGGTGACACAATAATTTCTTTTACTTGGCACTTCCTTAACCAGCAGAGAGTGTCTACAGCCCCAGATATTAGTATATGAGGATCTCCCTTAGAGGCCTGATTCTCAGTCTTCCATGCTTCTTGTCCCAGTCAAAGGCCTTACTGACCAGAACCTCCTGTTTATTATTAACGTCCGAAATTAAATAGGGGGACACCAGGCTGTCATAGGCTCAATCCTATTTTATTTGGGTTCTGGCATTTAAATATTTTAGTAGTAACCTGGGGTATATGTAAATGTTGATTTTAGATTTCACTCCTTACAGTGTTTATTATTGTTCTTTTTTCAAGTGGCATATATTTTAACCACTTTCACAAAGATTATTTTGTAACAGGTTTATATTTATACTTAGTTGGCTCAGGAATTTTGGAACAAATAGTTGCATTATAGTGCTGATTGTGAGGGAAACCGGGGCGAACTGTTCCATTTGACCCTCAGTGATTAAAACATATCATGGAGGAATATAGGAAACTTTAAATTACAGTATTTCTCACTATCACCACCTTTTTGTTAAGCAGCCAGCTTTACTGAGATACAGTTGTGCTTTTCCAAGTGCTGTCATCTGGCTCACTTCCAAAACCAAGCTGGCGAGGAGGAGGAGAGGGCTGGAGGGCAGCTTCTCAGTGAGGAGACCTTTCCATTGGAAAGAAATGGAAGATAAATTCCGACAGAATCGGCTGAGAATGGGGAGCTTGCATTACTACCCCACCTCCCAGTGAGGGCAGGGAGGCCCTGAGTGTAAACTTATTCTTGCTGGACTCGAGAAAGCGATGCTAATTTAAAATTTAAAAAAAAAGATGACTAGTGGAAATTAGTCTATTTGTCTATTATTTGATTGAAGAATATAGAATGTCGTTGGCATCATATAACTTCCCAGACAACTTAGCGTTTTAAGGCTAAAGAGCCATTTTGAGACGACCTTTTGCGCCTTCCCCAGTAGGAATTGCCTCCATGGGTTGCAGGCTTACGTCTCGGATGACTGCTCACCACTCAGTTAGGGCTTATTGTGCAAAGGTGGCATCGAGAAGATGTTAAAGACGGACAGTAGATGGCTGTGGAGTCTGAGACTGTTGCTCGCACATCAGCATCGCATATGAAATCATTAAGATTTGGAGATGGAGCAGCAAAGATCGCTTAGCCAGAGTAGCTGACGCCTGTGGGAAAACAGGAGAAAGGGAGAAACCAGGGGCAGTAACAGAAGCCTCGGGACCCAGAGGAGGCCAGGGTGCGGGGCAGGGGCCTGCGCAGACGGGCATGGACGGGTCTTCATGGTGGGGAGGAGCCAGGTAACTTTTATTTTGGTTTGTTGCCTTTCCTTGAAATTGTCTTGGCTTCTCACCTCATGATTTTGAGACAATCAAATGGGTTTTTACCTTTTATTCTAGCTTTATTTTGGAGGGCCTTCTTAAATTATAGAAATCTTGTGAGAGAGTACTGGTGCTGTGTTCTAGTTTCATGATGACTGATTTCACGTGAAGGGGACTGGATTTTAGTTGCTTAATTAAGACACATAATATCTTATTTTTGTTTGAAGATGTCATAGATTAAAGTAGGAGAGCAGACCATCACATGAGAGCTAGCCTCTTTTTTTTTTTAGAATATATTTTATTACAGAGAGGAAGGGGGAGAGATAGAGTTAGAAACATCGATGGGAGAGAAACATCGATCAGCTGCCTCTTGCACACCTCCTACTGGGGACGTGCCCGCAACCAAGGTACATGCCCTTGGCCGGAATCGAACCTGGGACCCTTCAGTCCGCAGGCTGACGCTCTATCCACTGAGCCAAACCGGCCAGGGCGAGCTAGCCTCTTTTTAAGGTAGATGTCAGGGTTTCTTTAAGCCAGTCTAAGTATGATTATCTAAAATTTACACATTTAAATAATTGTTCAGTCACTGCAAAATAATATACAATGAGCTTTCTTTAAGTAGACTTTAGTACAGTAAAGATGTTCTCAATTATAAACATTCAGCTTATGTACAGCTTTTCAGGAGTACAATTATTTAAAGATATAAAGGTTACTTGTTGTCAGAAATAACGATATAACCTTGTATAGAAATTGTATGCCTGACATTGAAACCAAGAAACACGTAACCCTTGCCCTCTGAACTTGTTTGAACAAATTGATTAATATAATCCTGTACGTTTTCTGTTGCATAAATCATGCATTTGAACTGTAACTTATTTAATGAAAAGTAAAATGTGTATTTTTTAAATTCTCCAACTGGGATGTGACAAGCTTTTGCATGTTAAAAACATGGTGAAAAATTCCTACCCTTTGTGCCATCTTTGGAGTTTTATTAAGAACTCCTTTCTTGGCCACAGATGCTGTCAGGGGCGGAGGTTCTTGCGGGGATGGAGAGCTGTTGCTAAGAGTGCTTCCTGCCTCGGCAGCACGCAGACACGCAGTCGGGGCCCCCAGCCACGGAGCATCGCTGCTGTGGCACAGACAGCGCACCCCGGGCCCTGCGGCTGCGAAGCACAGCAGGAGGGAGGCCTTGGGAAGCAGCGGCCCTGCTGCCATGAACTCTGATGTTCTGTGCTGGCGCAGAGTTCCCGCTGTGCACTGGGCGCTGGCTTTCTGATTCAGTACCGATGAGGGGCGGGCAAGGATGCCGCTTCTGAAATGTTCCTTCTCGCCGATGGTTAGATACTTGCTCTAGGGGTGCGTTGCCCTTCACAAGGCCTCCCTCCACATTGGCCTCTTTGTTGAGACGCGTCTTTCTGTTGGAGGGACATGCCTGGCGCCGGGGCCACAGCACAGGCCCCCAGAGCCGCCTGGCATCTCTCCCAGGTGGATGGATCCAGCGTGGCTGGTTCCCACCTTCCTTCCTCGTAAACCTTTTCTGACACCAAAAACTTTAATTTTTTTATACAAAATAAGAAAATGAAAGAGTGCAAATATGTCAGCTCATCATCACTGTACAGCATTTTCTGTGACTAATCAATATCTGTATAAATTGAGATGATCCCGGTGAGCCTCTAGAATACTAACACCGAATAGTAATCTATTTGTTGTTGTTGTTAATCCTCTCCTGAGGATATTTTTTCCATTGACTTTTTGGAGAGTGGAAGGGGAGAGAGATGTGAGACACATGGGTTGGTTGCAGATGCACCCTACCTGGGACCAGAGATTGAACCTGCAACCCAGGTACATGAACAGGAATTGAACCCATGACCCTTTGGTGAGCGGGCCAGCGCTCTAACCACTGAGCAACTGGTCAGGGCTGAACCGCTCCTTTTTTGTTTAGAGCAGTGGTTCTCAACCTTCTGGCCCTTTAAATACAGTTCCTCATGTTGTGACCCAACCATAAAATTATTTTCATTGCTACTTCATAACTGTAATGTTGCTACTGTTATGAATCATAATGTAAATATATGATATGCAGGATGGTCTTAGGCGACCCCTGTGAAAGGGTCGTTCGACCGCCAAAGGGGTCGCGACCCACAGGTTGAGAACCGCTGGTTTAGAGACTGCTTTCCTTCTTCAGAACATTTTAGAAATTAATGCTGTGTGATAGCTCCATAATGTCCTTCCTCTGAAGGCCTGAGCTGCAGGCCTGCAATGCACAGTATCAAGTCAGAGGCCTCCCAGCAGCTGGCCCCTCAGGCTGCGTCCTGTCGATGGGCAGCCAGGCTAGTGCTGGGTTCGTCTTATGTGCACAGCCTCGCTTATTAAGAGGTCTCACAACTGAAATCAATTGCTTGGGTTGAGCCTGCAAAGGTATTGTTTACTTTTTATTCCCAAAGATAATTTCTTTTTAATTGCTCTTTTAATAAGCGGGGAGATCTAAGCTAAGGTAGCAATGGGGAATAAGTAAGACCTGAAATTGGGAAACGGCGGCGCAGGCACAGCTCCTCACTGCTCCCCCCTTCGTGCTGTGAACGGCGCTCAGAGCAGAGCTGCTGGGGGGAGGACACAGGGTTGCCGCTTTGGCTGCATTGTGTCTTCTTACACTGGATGGAATATGAAATACGACGGGGAGGGAACGTGTGGGAAGGGCATTAATAGGCTTTGTTCTCCAGGAGGCTGGTGTTTTAAAGGAGGCTTTCCTGTGGGGGGGAGAGGGAGGGAGGAAGGTGGGGGCTGTGTGGAAGCAAGTAGATTGGAGTCATGGGGACACCTGAGGAGCTGGGGGGGGGGCGGTCATTAGAAAGCACCTTCTCAGGTGACCCAGATGTTCACTTAAAAACAATCTGCCACTGGGCACAGCTAATATGTGAGCATCTACTCCGGGGTAGTGTGCCAGAGGCATGCGTGTCTAATCCTCACAGCACTCCGGCAAATGGTTGGTCTTATTGATTTCATTTTATAGACGAGGAGAGGGAGGACAGACAAGGAAAGGAACTTCTGCAAGATCCTACTGCTTGTGGGAGGTGAGGCGGAGTGTAAACTCACGGCCCCTCACAGCCCTTCCCGGGACCAGTAGCGTGGAGGCTTGAATGGCTTTTAATGAGCCTCTGCGCCTCGGCCTCGTGTGCGGAAACGTTAGCGGGGTGCCTGCTGGACACCTAGGGGGTCGTCTGCGGCTCAGCAGCACCTGGTAAGGGGCTCTGTTCCTGAGGTCGGGGAGGGGAAGCCGAGGCTGGTGGGTGGACTCATTTGCCTGAAGGCAGAGCCTTAGTGAGTGTGTGGAGGTCCTGTGCTGGCTCTCTCACCCCCACTGCCTTCTGAAGCCCGGCCTGACACTTCACCCTTCCTCTCCTGCAGACGCGTGTCCCTCATGTGCAGCAGCCACGGGAAGGGAGCACATCCGCCCTCCTGGGGCGCCCACGGAGGGAGACAGGCACAGCAGGTGAACAAAGCCCAGCAGCCAGATGGAGAGCAGGTGGAAGCCTGTGGTAGGACAGCTAGGGAGCCATGTGCCTGTCCCCCTCTGGAAGATGCGGATGAAGGGGTTAGGTGCTCAGAGGAGTTCAGCAGCCAAAGAAATATGTTTACCTTTATTAGCCTAGTCTTGCCCAAACTTTTGTGACTACCAAACATTGCTTCCCCCGCAAGCCATCTTCTAGCTCAGTGGGACAGACTTGGGGAGTGTGGAGAGAGGGAAGAGACGCAGGGGTCAGGCAAGACTTCGCTTGCAGGGTCCTTGGGAGGTGGGCAGAATTTGGCTGGTTAGAAGGGATATTCTACAAGGAGACGAACGGACAAGCCATGTTTGGGGAACATTTTGGAAAGTGACTGACATAGCACCTTGGACTCAGTATTTTTATTGAAAAAATGACAAGTCTGTAAGTGGAGGTTGGTGTTGGCAGTGAGGGTTAAAGGGGCTTCGTGGGAACTGTTGATGGGCATGATGTAAACTCAGTGGTAGATGAGGAACTTCCACTGAGCCAAGGAGTAGTCGATGGAGGTGGAATCGGAAGCAGGAAAGCCATGGCTGTTGCGGCGGCCTCTAAGGTGATGCAGGCTTGCGCATGCGCAGGGGTAGGGTCGGACTGGAAAGGCGCAGGGAGGAGTCGGCAGACCCGACAGGCCAGCGTGCTTGGCGAGAGCTGTGGGAGGGCTGAGTGCTCAGAGGCCAGGCACACAGGCCTGCTCCTGGGTGTGCAGGGAGGGAGGCCCTCAGTGCGGACAGGAGCCCATGTTACAGTGCTTGCTTCTCTACGGCAGTGAGTCCTTTATTTATTTATTTACATCACTTTTGGTGGGAACCACAGAGAGGTTCTAGTCTCATTCCCTCCTCCCTCTCAATACTTCTCCCATTATTATTGTCGGCATGCTTACATTTTAAACTGTATAGTGCTTTATTTAATGAGATATCCATTCTAACATTGCCCTACAGGAAAATACGTAAGAAGATATGTAGCATGTAGCATGTGTCTAGAATGTTTTTACAAGCATGTCCCAGAGCCGCAGCCTCCCAGCACCGTCTGTTACTGCCGTGTAGACACCAAACACTGCTCCTTCCAGTGTCTCACAGCGAGTCCTCGCTCAGGCTGGTGGAGAGAGCATTTCAGAGGGGTGTACTGTGTGAGGGTCTGGGGTAGAGATCTGACTCAGCACTAATCCAGGCATGTAATGAGCCTTGTAATAATGGGGCTCTGCTGTTAATTATGGTGAAGATTCTCAATGAAATCGAATTTTCTGAGTACCATACCCATAAAAAAAACTTCACTCAGACTTTATATAACAGTCCCAAATATATTGTAAATGTTGTGGGTATTTGCACAATATTGACAGAAAATAGAAAAAAAATCATCAATATACTTTCGGGAAACATAAGATCAGATTATAACATAAATATATACCAGTATTAGTAATGTCTGTGTTGAAGTTACTAGAGTTTGTTAAAGGTTAGATAAACTTAATAGATTCCTTAAACTTAAGTGATAATAGTTTCTTTTTTAACAAAGAAAATAAAACTAAAAAAAGGACTTTTTTAACCCTCCTGTAGAGTGGAGTGAGGAAGCTTTAAAACAGACAAAAATATTTATTTCACAGTTGGGTGTCACCATAGTACCTGTGTATATATTATGGATTTATATTTAGTTGGTGAGTATGATTTATTCTCTCCATTCATTTTAGACTTTAACCCTGAGCAGAGCCCTGGGGATTAGTGCTTTGCAGAAAACCTTCATTGTCAGTCATTTCTCTGTTAGATTTTGAGTTACTGATAGCAGAGACAACATTTTTGTATCTGTACAATATATTGTGGAGGCTAAGATTAAAGTTTTCACTTTTATTTTGAGTCACCTGTTCCTTCAGAGATTTTGCTTCCACACGGGATGGTGGGGGAGGGAGGAAGCTGAGACCTTCTCTAGGGTGGTGGCCAACCATAATTCCCAAGAGGCAGCCTCCCTGGGGGGGTTCCCGTCAGGTGTGAGGAGAGGGGTGTGGGTGATGGTCTTAATGTCCTCAGGGGGCACCTTGCACTGTCTTCTGGGGGTGCCCATAGGAATGGGCAGTTCCCTTTCCCTGAAGCCCCTGGGTAAGTGCCACCAACCAAATGGTGAAGAAATAATGTGACATTTCTTAGGGACATTTGGATTTTAGGTATGATAAAATTGTACCAAATAACACCTGGTTGCCTTTCACAGATCTGATGACTGTCTTCAGGTACGACCACTGCGGTCATTCTGGCCAATCCAGAATGTCCACTTAGCAAGTGTTAAACTTACCGCGCTAGTCTCCTCGAGGGAGGGCTCTGTGGAAATCAGATCAGATTTTAAAAGGGTATTGTCAGCATTCTTTTTCTTGAAATCAATTTATGTGCACTCATAATTTAAGTACTCCTTTAGCAAAATTATTAAATGTGATTAATTTACTACACTGCCGATTTAATACCCTTCAGTGGCAGAATTTTGATTACATAAATCCTGCAGCCTACAAAAATGGCTATTTCTCATTAATTTGTGATTTCCCAACTAAGTCTCAAATTAGTGGACATCAATTTCAGACTTCAGGATCGCTCAAAAGTTTTCAAGCCTTTTATTTGCATTTCCCATAACCTTCCCCTCCCCTTTTTAAAATTTGCTCTTTTCACCTTTTCAGGGTTTTTTTCTTTTTTTCCTCATTTGTTTTGGGAGGTTTTTTGTTTGTTTGTTTGTTTGCATTTTCTTTCCTGAAACTTTGAACTCCATAGATGGGCGTGAAGGCCTGGTTTAGACGATCGGGTCTGCTTTCTTTCATTTCCATGTATTGTGTTCTAGAGCCTGTTTGCTCTGAAGATACAAATTCACAGCTGGAGAAAGGGTTCTGAACTTCATCATAGCTTAGCCTTTGCGTTCTTACATGTGCCAAGTGCAGACTTCACATGTTACCTCACTTACTCTCATCAGTCGGTGAGGAAGCCGAGGCACCTGAGCTCTGTCATCAGCTCATTCAGACAGAGGAGGCGTCCCGCTGTGTGGGACCTAAGAGCTCTCTGGGGCCCAGACCTGATCTGCTTTAATTAAAAAGTTATCCAATGTTACATAAATCTCCTGCGTCTAATAGATTCACAGCCCCAAATAGAGTAATTTTGGGCTTTAAAATTCTAAAGGCAACACTGACTTTGATGTGTTTATAAGAAGCATTATTTAAATGTGAAATTCCCTTTTCTCCCTAACTGTCGCTCTGCGTCTAAAAAGCAGCCTGGGCAGGCGCGGGTCAGACGCACGGAGCTCTCTCAGGTTTTTCCGCCCCAGCAGCAGGGTTTTCTTGAAGCATCATTTGACAATTAATGTTACTGAAACAAATAAAGCTACTTACAGGGGCTCTAGTTCTGATCCACATACCAAGTGGGAAGACATGTCTGTGGAAATCGGTGTCACCTTTTAGCTCATGGGGAGGCTGGAAGTGCGCTGCCTTTGATAAAGGAGCAGCGTATGAATGGGTGATGGCTGCCTTTCTCCCATCTAATTCCGCTGCTTCCTATTCCATCGAAAACCTCCGTTGGAAAGCAATTTCCCTCACTTGACCCATTTTCCTTCCGCATTATATCTTCTTCTGGTTCCTCAACACAAAATGGGAAAGAATGCAGCTGTGAACCTGCAGGCTCAGGAGGCGAGGGACTCAGGCCCCGCCTTTGGAGTGAGCGCGCTCTTTCCTTTCATGCTCTGGCTCGGGTGGAGGGCTAGCAGCTCTGCTTCCTCACTTAGATGTCACAGTTTCCAGAAGAGAGAGATGTTAAGTGCATGATTGGTAGACTTGTGGGTACAGAAAAAAATAGGTGGGGGGGTACGGATCTTGTTTAGGGGTTCGGACAATGTAAGGATGTTAGCATTTTAGTGAACATATGTGCAGTAAGCCTAATATTAATATATCCGTATTTTTAAATGTCTCTGGACACCTACGTCTCTTGATATCATTATCTGGTAATTTTTAACACCTCCATTAGTCACAGGTATGACATGCTATCCTGTGATAACATTTACTTCACATCCATGGTTAAGGGGCTTAAATTGGCAACTGTCCTTGCCAGGTCAAATTCTAAATGTCCCAGCATTCCTAGCATAGCACCAGACTCCTTCATGGAACCTTCTCCACCTTTACTCATGTGAACTTTCTCTTCGCCATTGACACTCACGCCTTTGGTGACCTCATTCAGTCCCGTGACTTTAAATGCCACACATACCTGAAGACTCCTAAGTTCTATGTCACCAGCCTGGACTGCTCCCAGATGGAGCATTTGCATATCCGCTTGCCTCCTCTACACGCCGCTTAAAGAGCGTGTCCCCCTCACAGGCCCAGAACGCCAGGCCTGCTCTGGCCCCACGTCTTTCTGGCGCACACCCTCTCCTGCCCCCCGCCCCCGCATTTACCCGAGAGCACCGCATCCTTCTAGGCACTCCAGTCAAACCTTGGGCGTCCTCTTCTCCTCCTCTCTCTCCGTGCATAATCCATAGGAAATTAGACAGGAGGCTTTTAAATAACCCGAGAACAAAGGAGAGATCACAAGGAAAGTTAGAAATATTTTCAACTGAATTAAAAAAGGAAACACAACGTATCAGAATTTATGTGATGCAGCTACACTGTACTCAGAGGGAAATTCGTAGCTGTAAATGTCTGTGGCAGGACTCTCTGAAGTGCATCTTAGGAAGGACTGCTACGCTCAACATTAAAGAATAACGACAATCTGTAAGACCCTCTCCCCCCGGCCCCGCAAGGCAGAGCTGCTGAGTCCGATGCTTCAGGATTGAAGGTTTGGGTGGTCCTGTCATGTTGAGAACCCTGCCTGGCTGAGGTTCTGATTGAGGACAAAAGAAATCTGGGATGGACAGTGGAGAACAAAGTCATGGACGCCATCATGGCCTCAGGACCAGGTACAGAAGTGAGAACTGGAGTAATTTAGCAAGTTTTTTCTTTGCTTGTTATATCTGTATGTTTAACTTTTTCCTTCCCCTTATTTTACATCCAAATTATTGGGAGTTAATTTGACAGTTTAGCCTTTGAGAACAGAATATTTCGTGGGACTGTACTGAAGGTAAGGAGTGTAGCAGTGATGGTTACGATGGCTCTTAGGACTGTGGCTCCTCACTTTGGGGAGAAGGCAGAGCATCTTCATTTATGGGAAGATGGGTACATGCTGTCGGGTGCAAACTGTTGTCTTGA